ATCACAAAGTAGCAAAAATAAAAAAATAAACCTAACTGTTAATATAGCACGGTAAGAATGGTGTGGACAGCACTGATGTCAAGATATTGCAACATTCCAACTAATCTCGCATTTTGTGATAGTTCCTAAATTAGTTTCGTTAGAAACATAGATAAATATTTTATTATAGCTGCTATATATTATTTTATGACCATTCAGACTAACATTAAACCGAATTAATATGCAAATTGAATTTTGTGTGTGTTTTTAAAGATATAAAAGGCATTCATGCATTGGATGTACATAAATATTTTATATTAATAAGCTATGAATATTTATTATAGAGAAAAATGAATACATTCTTCAATCCCATGGTACGGACAAGCATAAATATGGATATGAATTGAAGGAGAATAAGCACTTCCATCATACAACTACTGAGTTGGACGGAGTGAGGTGCGAAAAATATTAATATTTTTATAGCTTTAATTTTTATGGCCGGATTATAATAATTAAAATTCATTCATTGATTCATTCAGACTTGGATGCTATGGACATGTTTTAGAGGGAAAGAAATATTCAACACAATACGTTGCTGATATTAAAGGATATCGACCGGTCTATACATACAATGTCATAAATGTATATCCAAAAAGTGGTGGAGTAAGGTGAGTAGTCATAAACATAAGTTCTGGTTTTAAGCTAAAGCTAATGATTATTATTTTATAGAGAGGCAACATTCATCGGAAATTTCAATGAAGACAAGGAAAAGAGTGAAAATATTCGATACTTCTTCCCTGAAGGCTGTCGTGGTGATGATCATAATATCATTATTCCAGCAGAAAAGAATCCAATGCCTCCACCAGTAATTAGAAAAGTTACAACTCCAGAACCACCAAAACCCACTCCAACAAAACCACCAGTTACTTCCAAACCAACAACACAACCACCTCAATCACCAACTCCTCCTAGACGAACTATTGAACAATCAGTACCGGTAATTAATGTTGTTAGAATTGACCCTGAGCCAACCACACAAAAACCAACCCCACCACCTGAAAAATATCTCCCACCCCCAAATACTTACTTGCCTCCAATAGTTACCCCTGCCCCTGCACTTAAAGGAAATTACATAACAAAAGAACTTCCCCCCATAACCCAGCCAAAAGTGATTCCTACAACTCCCAAACCTGCACCAAAAGCTGATCCAAAACAAGCACCAAAAGTTGAACCAAAACCTGCTCCAAAACCAGCAATAAAAGCTGAACCTAAGCCTACACTCAAGCCAGCACCTAAAGTTGAAGTTATAGCTACACCAAAGCCAACACCAAAGGCACCTGAACCTAAACCAACGCCTGCAGTTTTTAAGAAGCCAATTGTTGTAGCACCAATTCCAGAGGAACCAAAAAGTAATTGTGAAATTTATGGTTGTGAGTCACAGTCAATAACAATTAAAAATCCTCCTGTTGCAGATACATGCGAGGCCAAATCATGCTGTAGTGAAGATGATGCTATTCCAAAACTTGTAATTCCAATCAATTTGGGAGCTGCAAAGTCTGGATCATGCCCAAGATTTGCAAAATTAATCGTACCTGCTGACTCTGTTGGTATGGAATCACTAAAGACTTTACTTAGCAATCCATCAGAGCTAGCAAAGACGATAATTAAATCACTCTCTTAAGACTCTCTATTCTCTGTGACTGTCTCTCTACTTTTGTTATCTCACTCTCTGTCTGTTCCTCTGACTTTCTACCTCATTCTCTGTCATTCACTCTGTGACTGTTAATAAGTTTATTTTTATAAGATTTTATTTTTCTGTATAATTTTAAAATTTTTGTACATTTTAATTGGATATACATGTGTATATCATTAACGCATGACAGCTTAATTTTTAAATGCAATGAATTTTTATTTTTTTAAAAATAACGAATTTCATAAAATAAAATTATTTTTAAAATGTTTTGGTAAGGATTCTTCTTATAAAGAATTAATGAATCAAAATTGTGTCGATTTGTGTCTAACATCCAAAAAAATAAAGAATTACTTCTTTTAAACGAAATGGAAATTTGCATTTTTTATATATTTAGAAGGGTATCAGCTAGTGATGTCTGAAGTTTGTTATTTCAGAATTTCAGTGTCAAGTCTACCTTTTCTAAACTTCTTCTCCCGCTCCTTCAATTAATGTTCTACCTTACTCTAAAGCATTCAACATCATTAGGACCATAACACAAAATAATAAGTTTATAGAAATTCCCTAATCCTCCTTAATTAGCAAACATCACAAGTAAACGACCCAACAAACCTAATTTGACGGTATTCAATATTAAAGAAGCTTAAAGAAAGGTCATCAGACTTGAATAACATGAGATAAGCTCTTCCCGACTGAAATATGAGTTCGAAAACGTTTTTATTTCTTTGTGCATTTTTTTTTTACAGCTGAAAAACATGTGTTTATATGGGTTATAGATTTCAGGTATAATAAACTGGCTGTGTAACGGGTTTTTGTGTTTTGATCAGCTTTAATTTAAATTTTGTTGTTACTAATGGAGAAATTGGACTTAGAATAAAGTGATTTATGATGTTAAAAGCTTAAGTTTTGGACTTTAAGAATTAATTTGTTGAAAATGAGTACAAAATGGAAGAGGGTTGATTCAAGACGTGGAACAGGGCAGTAGTTTTAACTTAAAGATCTCATTGTTTAACTCCTGATTCTTGATCAATAATATTTGGAATAGATTCGATTATAATTTGACGAATGACAAGAACATTGTTTCCAATCCTTACCAATCGTACCGAGCCGTGCTTACTTTACCAAAAGCTTAATGGTCTGAGCACTTGACCGGCAATCGAGAGGTGTGAGGTTCGATTTCCGCTTAGGATGAACCGTTGAGTGAATTTCTTTTTTCAACATTTTTTGATACGTGTTTACTAGTTCTCCGAGATTGAATTAAGATAGCAAACCTCAACTTATCTACAAGAATCAAGTCAAATAAAACTGATCATCGTCATCTATCATCAATCCTCATAAGCTCTAAATTGATGACACATAATCATCATATAAACATTGAGAGTTCCCCGAAATAAACATCTCAAAAAAAATATTTAAATCAATTAGGTTAATTTTATGCAAAGCTCCTATTAAGTATGTGATCTAATTTTAAACGCATGACAAATTGAATGATAAATGGGTCTAAATATTATGAATAGACATGTTAATGTCGAATCGATTGAATGTTAACAAGCTCCTAAGTATGTTTGTATAATAAAAAGATATCACACAATAAAAAATAGAGAAAAATTGGAATTTAATCAGGTGTCGAACGAATCATGATAAATTAATTAAAACATTTTTACGAAATGTCACTGAACCTGCTCATTAAAAACATAAAATTAAAGAAGATAAAAAAGAAACTTAACGAAAATTCAAATCTATCCCCTTTAATGTCTGCAGCCAGTAAGTCTTTCGTTGTGATGCTACCTAATCATTTATATTAATTTGCATTATAATGACACATGGGCTTTATCGAAGAATCTTATACAATAAATTAGTGTTACTATTAAAAAATAAGCGTTCAAAATAAATCATTCAAGTCTCATTTGCATTAATGGAGTGTTAAAATTTACTCACGTAGGTTTTTTTCTGCTGTTAAATCCAAGAGAGAGTTAGAGCTGAGCATCTAGACTGAGGAATATTGTAGATGAGATAATAAACGAAATTATTTTTATTTTGATTGAGCATATGGCGCTACCTTAAAAGCCATATATGTCCTTGAACCTGTAGAAGATGAATTTGAGAATCAATAAATATGGACAAGAGATTTATGTGGGATTTATAATGAATTATGTCTCTCATAAGTGTTCCTAAAAGTCTAATTACTACTTAATTTCCGTATTTTATGTTGTTTGTTCACCTTATAAGTAAATTGAACATTTTTTTTTTGTTTTTTATAATGTCACGCACGTTCTTCAATGTATTATAACTAATAAATCCTCATGATACTTTCTCACAACAACTCAAACGTTTTTGGTCGAAAACGTCAATTTACAGATCTATTAAGGTTATTTGTCTTTCAGCCTGTGTGGTAAACTTACTGACCTATCGCAATTTTCTTTTCAAATAATCTTTTTTTTTGTGCTTTGCTGTCTTTAAACAAAATTCAGAGTGAATTCTCTTGTAGCTTCAACTGCTCTCATGTCAGGCTCTTTATCAGAGTTGTTGGACGAGTTACTGGTTTTGAAAAATATTTGATTGATTTCCGGTCGTTTCAATGGAAAGTTTTTGGATGTATGCAGCTGATTCTACTTCAATGAAGTTTGATGTTATGAATAAATTGTAAAATTTGTAGCTTCATGATTCATTGCATTTTATTTACTCTTCAAATTTGAGTGACTATTTTGTACTTGAGAATGGTTATTCGTTTCTGCGAATAAAAGAGTATTTTTATCTCAAACTCTTGAAATCATCATAAGTTGACCATGAGATTAGTACGTAATCTATATTGTAGTGGTTAATTTGTTATCTTTAAGTCGCTCACTTTTTCAACAAGTGTTAAATGTTGAAATATTTTTATGAATCTACAGAAAATCTCATTAAATTCCTTCCTTTTGATTGTTTTGAAGTTAACGAATTGATGATGAATGTCTTTGTATTGTTCTAAGTGCGAACAAGTAGTAAATTTAATAAAATACATTGTTTGAAGGATATTTTACACATGAATAGTTGAAAACGAAAGGGGAGTGAAACTACACAGCATTTTTTTTAAATTTAGCAAATAAAATTTGAATCTTAGAATTCCGTTGAGTCAACTATATAGCATTAAAATAATATTTCCCTTACAAACCAGAATCTACATCTGCCAACCCTGCCTCCTCTTTTTCAATAATATTAAATCTAAGATTTTTTCTCATCTTTTTGTCTAACGTTTTGGTGATTTTCTGTTGTCTTTTTTTTCAATCGTCGTTTTGTGTTTAAGCAAAAGAGAAGTCACAAGTATAAAGATCAGACGTTTACGATAACACCTTTTCAGTCTTGCGAAATCTTCGGCACGTTTCTGGTGTTAAGTGTTAGAATTTTTTTTTTCTCCCCTACATCTTCATTTCAATAAGCACAAGTATTAATTAATTTCAATTGTCCACATATAATACCGTATATATTCTTGAAAAAAAAAAGCTATTCGCGGTCATAAAGGAGAGACTTTTAGAAAGGAATAATGATGTTAAAACAACTGGTAAGGTGGAAAAAAAAAATAGTGAAGATAAAAAAAAATATTGGAAGCGGAATTGATGAAAAATTACATATTATGTTTCACGAGTGACCCAAACCATCTACATATATTATAATATCCGAAAACATTAATTTATTAGTGGCTGTTATTTTGTTGTGAATGATCTCTAAACTTTATAATGTGAAAAAAATTAAAAGTTATGAAAATCTTAGCCGAAATGTCAAGAAGAAGAGCCTCGAATTGGCAAGGAGCAAATATTTAAAAAAAAATAAAATTTGAAGCCTCTTTGAAAAGATTAAGATACAAAACTCTATTAATTATCAGCCTTTCAAATCGCACATGCTGTATCGATAAAATAATTAGGATGACCATCGACTTTCTATTGAGACATTAGGTCTGGTCTTGATTTTGGTAAACTAGTGGTTGTTGTTTTTGTATTTTTCTATGGATGAGGGGGGTTTGGTATGGAAAACGAGGAGTTTGACGCATCAAAATTATATCTGAGTAATTAGCAAACAGTTAAACAAGCTTATAACATTCTAGAAAGATCGTAATGTGTTTCAGACGAAGCTTTATAATTCGAATCCTATAATAACATGTAATTAGGTACGACATTCTCCAAAAATAGGATTTTCCAGAGGTCGAAGCCGACATGAGTTCGCTCCGGTTCGCTAAAAAACCGATTCAAATTTGAATAGATTTTTTTCTGCTGCCATTTGTGAAGTATAACATTCTATACAAATTTACCGGTTATCGAATCGGTTTTTTAGCGAACCGGAGCGAACTCATGTCGGCTTCGACCTCTGGGATTTTCCCGCCAAAAACTGTGCATTTAGTCACCCTTAATAATATAATCAAAACAATGGTAATAAACACCATTGATTTATAGGTTAAAGTGTTAATTGATAATTTTTACAGTGAATAGAATCAAAAACAAGACTATATAGAATTAATAATCATGAAAAATTCATAAAGTTGCTCGGTAAAGAGCTTCCAAAAATCATAAATAATAATAAATACGTGATTAATCAATTGTTGGCAATCAATGCATCTTTGTGTCGTGTTTTGACGTAGATTATACATCAGCTACGATAAACTGGTTAAAAATCGCGATGTGCCAGCTTAGTTTATTCCGTTCTTAGCTCAAAAAATTTCATGTGTTTGTAAAATAACTTATCTCTAATCAGAACATAATGATAAATTTTTATATTTATTTTCGTATTAATTATAAAGGCGATTTTCTAATCGTGATCTCGCATAGACGAGACGTGAAGCTCAGATGTTAAACGGTTATTCATCTGCTTTTTATCGATATTCAATAATGAATTTTAAATTTTTAGTACGGGATAGTCCACAAATTGGTTAAAAAACATTCACTGACCAGAAAACGTGTTCTGATATAATCTCACGATTTGCAATAAATTTTATTCCCAGGCTTTAAAGTTGTATGCCCTTTGGCAATTTGCTTTATCTTCAAATTTTCTGAACACCTGTAAATGATAAAATTCTATCGGAGATTCATGAATTTCTATAATTAATTATTCAACGCTTTTGCACGAGGAAGAAGAAATGAATGAAGATTTTTTTTAAGTATGTAGAAATTTTCAAGGTGTGAAAATATTATTTGATTTTTTTTTTATTATGAATTGTTAACTTAAGTTTAGATGGGATGATAAATTAGGTTCTATATCTCGAGAGCCAATGTGTAGCACTCTATTAATTCGATTATAATCTAAGTTGAATATAGCTTTTTTCAATCCTGTTATTTTATTTTGGTGTTAAGAATTGAACAATGCTTTGAATTAAAGTCCATTAAGATCAAACCTTCAACAAGCATAAATCAACAGAGACTTTAAACCTCAAACCTGTTAACACTAAGTTATTTCTGCCTTTTATCAAAACATCTAAGTTTCATCTGTAATTACAATTCAAAAAATTCAATTCAAAACAAAACAATCATTGATTTCCTTTCAAAAAAGATTCCCATCCCTTGAATTCCAACTCAGTAGAAGCTTTCATGAGTTTCATTCAAATTTTTAAATCTGTTTAAATTGTAAAACAAGTCTTTATCTGACAAAATATAATTCTCAAATTCCATTCGCTTACCTTAAAAGAATTTCGGTTCCTTTATGAAAAAAATTGTTTTATCTTTTGAACCGCGAATTGAAGAGAATGAGAAAATTGTGACATCTTAATAAGGAGTCCGTTAAGAATTATGACATTATGCTAAGTAATATTAATGAAAACACCACAATTGGACAATACACGAGTGATATATAATCTAAATTTGTAATCAACAAAGAACAAAGAAATCAATGATTGTTTTGTTCTGAAAGCTTTAAAAATTTCCTCAATTATGGAATCGCCCATACATTATCAACAGATGATCTTCCTTTATCGAATTTTGGTCATCTATTTGTTTTCGCAATTAACAATAAAAGAGATAACAATAAATTTACTGTTTGTGCATAGAAAATCGAGTTTTAAGAATATTAATTTATTTGGCAAATTCTTCCATTCATTAATGATATTAAATTATTACATTAATTTGTTTCAAGCGCTAAGAATCTTCTTCCGAAAGGTATTGTTAAAGGAACATAACGAAAAAAAATTATTTATGATATACATTCATTGGATGTCGACGGTGTGAAATAAATTATGATACATTTTTATAAAGTGACGTTGATCTTCGTCTAATTTTGGCACGTCGCATTTAAAAACAGCTGGCATAAAGAATTATTTAAATTTATTGAAATAACATTAAGGGAAGATGCGCTGTTATGACTTGCTAATCATCATAAAATTTACTCGTTTCTTTTATCAATCTTGATCCTCGAATTTTATTTTTTAACACATATTCACAAAGAAGATTAGACACACTTGTCTGTCTGGCTGGTAGCCGCTAGCTTAATTTTTATATTTGAATCTTTTTCAATGCAGTTTTTTGTTTAAAATACGGTTCTTTTTTGATTGGTCACTTAATCGGCTGCAACAAGCCAAAACACTTTTTGAAGTGGGTTGCGTTACGTAAAATTACGTACGTAAAATTGAATAAGATTTATTATTATTGATGAAAGAAGTTGAATTTTCCCACAGCGAAAATGCGCTACAGTCAATCACAAGACAGTCCACATCCATACTAGCTATTAATTGTAAGCATCGCTGAAAAGAAAGAACAACCTGTTTCTTCTTGTTTTATCTTTTGTTTACCGAGTTATAAAATTAATGTTGATGGAATTGATGATGATAACTAGCATGTCAACAGTCTATAATTCTATAATTGTGTTAAGTGTATAATCTCGTGTGTCGTACCGAATTTTGATTTTGCCTGCTTCCAATATTATTATTGTATTATTTATGTACAATAAAATATCAAATTAATTATCAACAGTCAATTTGTATTTATGAATGAGATTTTAAATAAATTAAAAGAATATTCTATTTCATTAAAGGTAATGTCGATTTGTCTTGCGCTAATATTTGCTGTTGTGCCTCATCGGGCTGTCAAAACCGACCTTAAGTTTTATCTCTCAAATTCAAAAGGTAAATTGAATATATATGCACAACTATTTAGGTATAACGGTCTAAATGACATATAATTGTGTTCACAAGATCTACATCCTTATGAGTCCAGTGGCTATAAATATTTTTAACGATTATTCCAAACTTAAAGTCCTCAACTAATCTGCATTTATGATCCTTTATGACAAATGTTCAGTTTTTAGTGCTTCGATTTATGATGATTAATTTATGACTAAGTTTATTCTCTGTTCGCTTTGATATTGTAGGAGTTTAACAATTTAATTATCGTATTTGAGCATTTAATTTGGAACTGCTTCAACAATAGCACGACCAGAAGTGTCAAAAATTACCATTTTCATCCACAGACACCTTGAACTTTAATATTGATTGAAATCGATCGAAAATTCTCTCAAATTTTTACGCGCATTTTTTTTTATTTCCATCAAATGTGACACGACAGTCATTTTGGTCTCACATCTAAATATACATTTATAGCGATCATAACTCGAAATCTGAAGCCTGAAAAACTATACAAAGCTATCAAAAATTAAAAATTTCGTATAAAATAATTTTTTTTTCTTCTCGCAATAAAATTGCTTCATTAATGTAGAATCAGCTAGATTCACCTTTTCACGTCTCAATAGCATATTTGGTGATTGACCGCTATTTTACTACCAGATAGCCGCAGGGGTATAAGATGGATAGAGTACTTATAGTGCTTAAAAAAGACATCAAATATTTGGCATTCTGTAAATATGTTTTAATATGCTTAGAATGTCCATTTATGCATATAATCCAAAGCTAATCCCTCCGAGTCAACCCTACGGAATCAAATATTGTACTTAATCGCTATGCAAGGTCAATCCGGAACTGAATTCAGAGAAACTACTCCAAAAAGCCTTTCATTCCATTAGCAATTCCATAAAATCTCTTAAAACCAATAGAAAATCCATTCATAGCCATAATAATGACCAAGTTCAAGGTCAAAAAATGCGCTTAAGCATCTATTCGACCAGTCATTTTAAATAGTCATCATTTTTATTGACACGTGATTCTCAAGTTTCTTATATGCATCGACACATGTGGATTCGATTGCGGCTTCGTTTAGAGAGTTTTTACTGCACACTGTCAGTCAAAATGACCTATAAACAAATAATTTTATATCCATTTTTATTTATGCAATATTTTTTTATAGGGTTAGACTATCAGTTCGCTGGAAAACAGGACGCACACAGATTTGGAGTGGAGTTAAAGGAGAACAAGCAGTTCCATCATACGATAACAGGTTTCGTTTTATTTAATTCTTTTGTTTTATATTTATTTGGGAAGTTTGGAAAAAAATGAGGGAGTTTCTAGCTAGAAGATTAGTGTTAACTTTGAATCCATCTCGCTTTTGCAATCTTTGATTCTTGATCTAAATACTAGATTCAAGTTGATTAAATTTAGAGCTAATATTTAATAGCTAGTGAATGGAAGAGTACTTACTGAAAAGTCTTGTCAGGTTCAATGTTGACTGAGAACTGCCCATTTCTGCTCTTAAAATTTACCAAGGGGTCTAAACTACGAATTCGCCTCATGCAGGTCTGAAACTATGAATTCGCCTTAATTTAAATTCAAATTTAATCATCGGCTACAAATTTGTCACGACAGTAATATTAATCAGCAATTGAGAATAATGCCTGTAAAATGTAAGGTTGACGCTAACTCGCTCATTATTTCCGAACCTACCCAACATTTTAAATTATTATCTATAATGTTCACACATTCAATTTACGGATTTTTGGTAATTTCCATTCTTTTTTCTCCTTGTGCTTCACTCAATTTCATTTGTTCTTCTTCTTTTCTTATGACAATAGCCGAAGACGGTGTTCGATTAGGTAAAAATCTTTTATTGATATTTTATCTCTGTGTCATTCACTAAACTTATGCCTGTATATTATATGCGTTCACTATTAGGCTGTTATGGATTTGAATTGGAAGGCAAGAAATACAGCACAAATTATATAGCAGACGGAAAAGGATATAGATTAGCATCGACAGATACGGACTTGATAACTGTATATAGTAAAGGTAGTTCAGAAGCCAGGTGTGTAGATTTAAGATTATTTACAATGTCATGCGAGATAATCATTCAATTATAGTATTATTAAGTAATCTCTTGTCATTCTGTGTAACATGTTAATTATGGCTCTTAACAGAATCGCGTCATTCGTTGAATCATTTAATGAAGAGGAATTAAAGGCTGCAAACATTCGCTACTTGTTTCCAGATGGCTGTCAAGCGCCGACAATTCTTTATGATCCCAATAATCCATCAACAAAATATGAGAATAGACAGAAGTTGTTTGAGTCGCTCATTGAAAAAGCTCAAAAGGCCAGAAATGAAGAAAAAGATAAAATTGACAGAAGTGTCGCGTCAAGAGCTCTTAAAACACAAGATGTTGATGATCGTAACAAAAATGGAAATAAAACTAGCAATAATAGCACCAATAGCACCAACAATAACGGCAACGGCTATGGCAACAACAACAAGCATAATACTATTAATAATCTTAACAATCTTAACAGCAGAAACAATAATAATGGTTATAACTATGAAGCTAATAAAAATCCCAGAGGCTCAGATTTCGAATGCTGCAATAATGAACGTATCCAAATCATTTTACCCAAAAACGATTCTTGTTCGCAGAACACTGCAAAACTCATCATTCCACTTAATTCCGAGAAGCTCTCAAGTATTCCTATCACTGAATTCATAAATCTTCATTCATCACCATCGATTTCATTTATATTGAAAGAATTGCAGTACCTCGTTCAGAAATATAATCTGTGAAATAATGATTTTGTATAAATATTTTAAGAATAAATTGATTTTGTGAATCATCAGTTAAATTTGAATAATCACGTGTTCGTTTTTTCAACCGACTTTTTTTTGAATTTTTGTCTTTACAGGGGATCCTTGATTTGAATAGAACGGAAGGTTTAAGGGGAAAAAACTATGATTTTGCGGTTATTCAAATTGAGGACCACCTTAGTCTATTTACTTTTTCGATTTTATCACAATTTGTCGAATGAATAATTATTTAAAGTATGGATGCATTCTTAAAAAGTGGTAAATTATCGTCATCGAAAGCTGGAACTAGCACAGGAAGTCAAAAAGGAGTAAAGGATAAGAAACAGAAGGAAAAACCAATTCCATGGGTTGAGAAGGTAAATTAATTTTGGCGGGAAATCTATTATAATAATTTAATCAACTTTTCTGTGATTTATAGTACCGTCCGAAAAAAGTGGATGATGTAGTCGAGCAACAAGAAGTGTGTAATGTTCTCCGTGACTGTCTTAATAGCTCTGACTTGCCAAATTTGTTGCTTTATGGTCAACCGGGTAATATTCACTTCCTCTTTAAATCATAAAACTATAATTAACATAAAATACACCATGCTTAGGTACTGGAAAGACATCAACAATTTTAGCCGCAGCACATCAGTTGTTCGGTGAATTCTTTAAAGAACGAGTATTAGAACTGAATGCGTCTGATGATCGAGGTATAGCTGTAATTAGAACAAAAGTAAAGAACTTTGCACAGCTTAAAGCATCATCAATTAGACCAGACGGTAAGCCATGCCCACCATTTAAGATAATAATTCTTGATGAGGCTGATGCGATGACTCATGCAGCACAAGCAGCATTACGTCGTACAATGGAAAAAGAGACTAGAACTACAAGATTCTGTCTGATCTGCAACTATGTATCTCGAATTATTGAACCAATTACATCACGTTGCACAAAGTTTCGATTTATTTCACTTACTGAAGAAAAAGTCATGGAAAGATTGAAGCTCATTTGTGGACAAGAGAATGTAAAGATTGATGATGATGCACTGATGAGTATTGTGGATATATCTGGCGGTGACATGAGAAAAGCTATAACAACACTTCAGTCATCTTATAGAATAAAATGTGGATCTGATGTTCAAGGTACAGACAATCCAATAACAAAAGTGGATATACTGGAAATGTCAGGCATGGTTCCTGAAAAATTTCTAACAGACTTCATTCAAATTTGCCGTAAAAATGACTTTCAAAAGCTCGAAAATTTCGTTGAGAATTTCATGTTTGAAGCATACAGCGCATCTCAGTTCTTTGACCAACTTAGTGAACTGATTGTTATGGATGATTCAATTACAAATGAACAAAAGAGCATAATGCTTGATAAAATGGGCGAAGTAGCATTTCGATTGCTGTCTGGTGGCAGTGAATATCTACAATTAATGAATTTTGGATCTACAGCATTAATGGCATTTGAGAAGAAGTGAAGTGAAGTTTTTATGTCAAGTTTTAATTTTATTAATTAAGGTTTTATATGAGAAAAAAAAATAAAAATACATCTTAAGATAAATCATCAAAATCTTCATCCTCTCGCTTCCTCTTAATTGAGACTTCTTCAATAATATCCATCTTAATATCATCTTCTATTGGAATTTGTGGCTTATTGATGCTGATTGTTGGCTTAGCAACTTTAAATGTGGGTTTTGGAATTGAAACACTTGATGTCTTGTTCAATGTTTGTCCCAATGTTGGTTTCTTAATTACATTCGTGACTAATTGACTTCCAGTCACGAGCTTTGTCTTGATTGTGCTGCCTTCAATAGCTGATTTAACGAGCTTCTTTGTTGGCGCTTGCGATGATGCAGCACGCAGTTTATAATTTGCAGCTAATAGACAATGACGATCTGGTGGAAGTCGTAAGCCTGAATGAGGCTTTATTGGAAGCAAAGGCTGTGAATTTTTTTGTTTTGCAACTTCAAACAGCACTTCTCGAGGCGGTGGTCCTGTAAATGATTTGTCCAACAGCATTGTTGATGCTAATTTGACATCTTCCAAGTCGATTCCTTTCTTTTTTGAGTGGTTTGCGTAGACTCTAGAAGAATTAGAAGTAGAATATTAAGTTTCAATATCTAAAAGTGAGAGTAACTGGATCTTACTTTGCATCTTCCAAGATCGTTGTTACATAACGGTAAGTAAATTCTAATAGCTGGTTGATCACTCTAGGCTCAAAATCTTCGATTCCCAAATCTCTGAAATTTTAAAAACAAACAAATTAATCAAAATTTTATAAATAAGTTAAGAATCGATGAAATACATACCGTAAGATGGATATTATGACTTGAGCGTCTTTAGGTAGTTGTTTGGATTGATTTGCAGCCTTTTTCTCTTTACTAAGCTCCTCCATAACTGCAGTAAAATTAAAATACCTTTTAGAGAAAATTATTTTTCAGAGATAAACAAAAAAATGTCTTAGTTGAATGCCCCTTGTTGGGGTTATCAAGATTTTGAATATTTTGAAATTAAACTGTTTTTTTCTTTAAATTGACTTTATTGCTTCATATTTAATGTTAATCAATAATATAACTTAAAATTCTACTTAATTGAGCTGTAAATAGCATTAAAGCTGCATAAATTAAGCTTCAAAAAGAAATGTTTCTTAAAAACCAACGTTCTTTAAAAATTCAAATTCCAACAATGGGTAAGCAACTTTGTGTAAATAAATTTGTTTTCTTAAAATTTAATACGATCAATTTAATTGAAATTTTAAAAGAATAAGCTGAATTTAAGTAATATTTTCAATAATGGTGAGTCAAGGAACATCAATAAATCATAAAGACATCAAAATCCCATTGAGAACACATCAAATAAGTGAAAAATCAACAAATTTTCTAAAATTTTCTTTGTTATTCAATAAATTTTCAGTTTAACTTCGGTTTTCCTGAAATGCGATGGCCAGAAATGAGAAATTTTTCACAGAATTATCGATGCTTCTCTGTGTCTATGTTGCCAGGAAATGAGCGCGCTGATGTAGAGAATGGAGGAAAAAGTAATTAATAATTTTTTGCACTGTCATTATAACCAACTTTATACATAAATTAATATACATTCTAGTCATTATGCCACCGTCAGCACTAGATCAATTAACAAGACTTAATATAGAATATCCAATGTTATTTAAGATAACAAATCGTCATGGCAAGAGAGAAACACATGCAGGAGTTCTAGAGTTTATAGCTGATGAAGGTAGAATTTATATTCCGTACTGGATGATGAAAAACTTGGTTTTAGAAGAGGGCGACTTGGTAACAGTCGAAAATTTATCCCTGCCTGTAGCATCTTATTCAAAATTTAAGCCACAAAGTGTCGATTTTTTGGACATAACAAATCCAAAAGCTGTACTGGAAAATTGCTTAAGAAACTTTGCATGTCTCACGATAGGAGACGTTATTGCTATATCCTATAATAGTAAGATTTATGAGCTACTCGTATTAGAGACTAAACCCGGCAAAGCTGTGACAATTATTGAATGCGACATGAATGTAAGTAACGTTGTAAACGGTTTCTTCAAATTCAAATATTTTATGTCGTTAATTTTCAAATATTTTTCGACAGTTTAATTTTCATACTTAATGTATTAATTAATTCTTGCAGGTGGAATTTGATGCACCAGAAGGATATAAAGAGCCAGAGCGAATACCTAAACAGCAAGATGAGATGGATGTCGATAATAATCATCATCAGACGACTCACATTGATAATAATGAATTTTATGCCTTCAAAGGTGAAGGAAGTAGACTCGATGGCAAGAAGATTAAAGAGCCAATAAAGAGCGAACCACCGTCACATATTTTAGAGAAATATACTCGCGGTATTCCCGACTATGATCACAATATCTTCGAGCTAAAATTTGATAGAAGCTCCAAACCTAAAACAGCTGTAAAGAGTGAGAAAGACGATTTCAAGACTTTTCAAGGGCTTGGCAATAGTCTGCGAAATAAGAAGCAATAGCTTCAGACTTGAGGAAGTTACACACACTGGATCTTTAATTTCCTTTTATCTCTTTTCTGCTTTATTTATATTTTAAAAACTTTCCAAATGAAAAATTTTGTTTCTTTTTAAATAAGAAATTAATAATTTGATTAAAAATGAAATGATACAAAAAAGATACAGTATAATTAAATTTCGTGTCCGTAGAATCAGGATAAATGATATTGCAGAATTGGCAGCATTTATAGATTAATTTTTGGGTGATTTAGAATCTCTTCAAGAACTCTTCAGCACAAATACGCGCACGACTATTAACAGACAGCTTTAATTCACTAATTTCTTTATCAACTTCCTCCATGAAATGGATGACAAAGTCAACAAGTTTGTGCTTATACATTTGTTCGGTATGAAAATTGGTGATAAGGAATGATATATCATAGCCCTCAATAGGCTTTCGTCTTAATATTACAAAGTTTTCAGCTCTCATCATCATAAAGCGCGTAAATTTGTGACATAAAATCTTCTCAATCTCGTCTGCCTGCTTTATGGAAATACTAATACGGACTGAATTAACACTTGTCTCAATTAATACTCGTTCCTTCTCATTGCGGGATATAATGACTGGATTTAAAACTAATTCCTTGGATGATTTCACCTCAATCTCGGGTTTGTTGTGCCTTTCTATTACCTATTTTTGTGGATTTCAAATGTTATTAGTCACCAAAATATTTTGCAAAGTCTAAAAGTCGTACCTGAGAAGAGAAATTGTCTAAGCACATTGCAGCTGTGAGCGTGTGTCGAACCGCTGTTAAATAAGGCTTCAATGTTGCAGCCATAATGGATTTAAATTTAGGAATTTACAGTAAAATAATTATTTTTAAATCTTGTATTATTTTTTAACAAAACGCCCTTACTCTTGCAGTTTTAGGGTTTCCAATGGTCGAGAATGTTGACGGGAATCAACGATCATTTTTTTTGAATTTTTGGTTGGAAGACTGGAAAGTCATTGGAAATTATTTAAATCTAGAAAATTCGTTAAATTTTTCAATTTTCTCTTATTAAGTTTTGATCCTTTTTTGACAAAATTTGAAGGTTTTTAAAAGGTTCAAGCATGTTTTAGATGTTTCTATATAGAATTTTATAATTTTGAATGATAAACTTTGATTTTTGTGGATTTTGTTCGAAATTACTGGATCTATGTAATCCAGGTCGTTAAAATCTCAAACTTACGACAACATTGGAAGCACTAGCATCATATAGTGCATATAGAGCATCAACTGAGCGATGTTTCCTGGAAAAGCTACAGAATTTTGCCGATCAAAAATTAATTCTCAAAATAACATCTGATAATTCAACAAGCTAAGTTTAAAAGCCGTTAAGTCATCAATTACATCTTATCATCAACCTGATAGCCTTAATAGTGCTTCCAAAAGTATTTCAAATTCTATGTTTTTTACATTACTGACATCGGATTATTTTTAAGGGGTGTGAAATCTTCTTAACAAGTAAATAAATCAAAATAAATTTAAGTATTCCCCAATTATACCTTAATTAAGCATCAATTCACGATGACAGAGTTTGAGTTTCCTTGGGAATACAATTTCCCACCGTTCTTTACGTAAGTCAATCAAACATCATCTCTAAAAGTACCTTAATTAACTCAATCCTTATAGTCTCCAAAAACATACAGAGACGAGAAAGCAGCAGATCTCTAGATGGAAGGAACTAATCCTCACATATGCTAAACAGAATAATCAAGCAGTAATTAACATAAATGACGAGTCAGAACTTTTTAGTAACAGTAAAATCAATCGAACATTAGATAGAGAAATAAGGGAAGTGATCCTGACAGAACTATGCAAATCCAAGAACGCTGAAATCGTTGGATCAAAGAATTCAGGAACTTATGAGATCTATTGGTTAACAGTCGACGAATGGTCTAATGTCATTTATTCATGGGCTGTAAATTCAGGAATGACAAATTCAGTGTTAACATTTTTTGAGCTTCTCAACGGTGATGATACACGTGATCAGCAGTTTCACCAATTAAATGAACAAGTATTTATGAAAGCTTTAAAGCAACTCGAGGGTAAAGGTAAATGTGAGGTAATGGAAATTGATGGAAATTATGGAGTTAAGTTCTTTTAACGAAATGTATGTTGAACATAAAAAAGGTAATAAAGATAATGAGAAAAAAATACGAAAAGAAAAGTTTTAATCTACTTGAATTTCATATCACGCACTCACAATAGACTAAGATGCTCAAAAAGGTCATATGCTGATGGTTTTCGGTACTTCTGGGCTATACTTTTGAAAATCATGAAAACTAAGTTTGTTGTTTTAACGACAGTTTCAAATTCAAAAATTACCGGCTCTTGAAATTTTGAATCTTTGCTTCTTTTGAATTCGCTTTTGCATCCTTTTGAGATTCAAATTTTAAAATGCCGTTAATTTTCAAAACTTAAATTTCTGTTATGAATAGCTTTTATGATTAAAATCGTAGCATAGTAGAATTTCCGAAATAAATTTTAAAAAGTCGAGTGTAATCATCTCATATAAGTACTGACGATGCAACTGAAAATAAATAACAGCACTTAAAGATTAAAAACGAATATATTAAATTTTTCATGAATTACCCAATTTATTCTATCGATTTTAATCATACATTTTTCCCTTTTTTTTGGTAATTTTTTTATTTTTTATTTTAGATAACTAATGAAAATCTTTTATAGCTTATAGTTCTAAAAGGAAATGTTAAATGTTAATACTTTTTTTTATTCATTTCTTTTTTTATTAATTTTTATAATTCATTTCATTTGCTAAAACATGTTTTTAAATGATTTGTATTTTTTAAACTTTTATTTTTTTTTCAACTATATTCATCATTTTTTAAATCAAACTCTAGAATTTTATTCATCAGGTTCAACGATTTGTTCTTCAGTTTTTATAAATTTTTCAAGTTTCACTTTTTAATTTATGTTAAAAAATATTTCATTTTGATTTTAAGTTGTCATAAAAATATTTTTAAATAGAATTTTTAAGAGATACTTAGTTCCGGGCTGCAGATGAAGGTTGTGGCTGACATTTGAATGGTTTAAAGCTAGCTGTGGCAGAACTTAGTTCGCTTAGCTTTTCAACCCCAGGCAGAATAATGACAACCATTCCCACAATATACAGCCCAGGTCAGGTTGGGGTCTCATATCAACAATAACAAATGACAAATTAATTCCCATTAAACATCAAATGGCAATAATTAAGGAGTAGCTGGAAGCAAAAATCGATGATGCCATAAATATCCACAAGAAGCACTCATTTCTTGACGGTAAAATAATCGATAATTTAATTCAGACTCGTCGAGACATCTCGAACCTTTAATGGTTAATTCGATTTGAAAATAATCTAAATTGGCTATAACACTAAAAGCTGGGATATCAGCACATGGCAAAAAAAAAGGCAAATTTGATATTTTTCTACTCCCGTGGATGTTATTCAATAATAAAGGGACAATTTGGGCTCATCGGTTAAGTATCATGAAGCCTTATCATGATAATGGTCTTAACAACATCTTGCATTTTGGTTTGTCGACAAACAGAAGACTTTAAATATGGAAGCTTTGCTCTGCTTATGCAAAAAAAAAATCTCGTCAAAACATCGACATAAAAAAATTTAATATCACATAATGCGTGTTTTTGTGTAGTAAGAATGATACAATCTGATGCCACCTTGATTATTGCCATGATCTACTTACATACAAATAAAATAAAAACATAAAATTTGAGTATTGGTGTCATTGTGAAGGATTGTGGATTCAGCGCAATTTTCTGGGGAGTTCAAAGTTGTAGACTGATTTAAACTTGAGTTTCCTGGACTGTGAACTTCGCTGATAAGTAAGCTCTGCCTATAAATGTAAATTAACCTGAGGGGCCGTTCACTTATTACGTTACGCAACCCCCCCCCCCCCCCCCCCTTGTTACAACATGTTACAACTCGCAACCCCCCCCCCCCCCTGAACGTTCATAATTCAAATTTTTTTCGTGAACTTTTTTTTAAAAGACAGACGACAGTTAGAACGTTACATTCTTCTTGACACCCCCCCCCCCCCCCCCCCCCTTATGTTACATTTTGTTACAATTTTTCAAACCCCCCCTCCCCCCTAAAATGCGAACGTAATAAGTGAACGGCCCCTGAACAATTGCAGTTTTTGTTTATTGAAGCGTTCTGAATCTACTGACCCCAAATTTACTAGGTTTCTTATGAATTTTGATTAAGTAGAGTCTAAGAAAAGGTTTAGGCATTGTCCTTATGTTGCTCGATTGAAGAAATTTGATGACAATCTATGTTTGGACTTGTTCAGAGCCTTTTTTGATTAAAGACTTTTATTAAGAGCTTCAAAGTGCTTCAAAGCTTCAATTTCCGATTTTTCTAACGATTCTATCAACCTTCTCTCAACAACCTTAACATACCTCAACTCTTCAATACACAGCATCAAATTCTTCTCATTCAATTAAAACTTTATTATAAATTTTATATTAAATTCGTTTTTGAGCAAATCACGTATTTTTAGAAGAAGATATGATTACTAGTCGACTAATGCTGCTTTATCGTTGATAGTTGAGGTATCTTAAGGCTTACTAAAAGAGCAAATGATCATATTTTCCATAAAACTGTTTGTTTATAAATCGAAAATTCTTAAGTTTCATGCGATTTGCCTTTCAAACCAACTTTAAGTTTGTCAAATTATCAATCTCATTGTTCAAAATGATTTAACAATTGTTAATTGCAAGATCCAGAAAGACAAAAATAGCAAAATTCATTGTTTACAACATCCATACCCAAAATTGCGACAACCTAACCTCAAATCTCCCCAAAATAAGCTATAAAATATTTTACATATCTCATTTTGCAGACAACAAAATTTCAATAAAATAAAATAAAGAGATATAAATCGCATGATATTCAAATGACGAGAAAAATGGAACAAATAAGGCAAACAAAATTATGGAGAGGGATGCCTTAATGCTCGGCTTCTGTAAAATGTTTTATGAATTGTGATAACTTCTCATCATAATTATTCCTTTTTTATGTACAGCAAAATAATCTCCGTCCACATACACAATGGCAGCAGAGCATTAATTCATTTTTGATCTCATCATCGTGCGGATGCCGCAAAAAAATGAAAAATTTGTCCTTTATCCCCGGAAGAAAAAAAGAAAAATCACAAAAAAATGATATGATTAATGTTATTAATAGACCCGACCTCTAAGTACCATTTAACAGAGCATAAAAATGTTTTTTTTTTCTCATTGTCTAAAAAATATATATTTGAATTCTGTGTAAGTCTACATGTGTATATTTCGTTCCTAATAATGAATCAATAGAACATCTCTTGATAAATAAACTTTTTTCTAAACAGAGCATAACTTTTGAATAGATAACAAAAAGTAGATCTAGGGGATGTGAAGCGTGCTTTATTTTTCGGATGGTGATTTCGAATCATTCGAAAACCGAATTCGAAATTTTTCGAATATGTCAAACTTTAAAAGTTATGTTCAAATTTTAAGAAAGTAAAGTTCGAATCTTAATAAAGTCAAGTTCGAATTTTGATAAAGTCAAGTTCGAATTTTAATAAAGTCAAGTTCGAATTTTAATAAAGTCAAGTTCGAATTTTAATAAAGTCAAGTTCAAATCTTAAGAAAGTCAAGTTCGAATTTTAATAAAGTCAAGTTCGAATCTCAAGAAAGTCAAGTTCGAAATTTTTCAAAAATGAATTTTAGATCTTCTGGAAGTAACATTCACATTTTTGAAAAAGAAAATTTGAATTCTATTTTTGAAAATCAGTTTCGAATTTTTCTAAACTTATTTTCCAATTTTTATTCATATTTTCGAATCTTTTTATATTTTCGAATAACGAATTGGAATTTTTCACAATTTTAACCGTTTTCTCAGATTCAAACTTTTACCGCTCTTTTTTTCTCAACTTCAAAATATCCGTTTAAAGCTACTCCACACTCCCCAGATACATTTATATAGGAAAAAAGAACTTCGTACTATGTTTTCGCAAATAGATTCTTTTCCATTTCCTATCCTCATCATCATGTTATTTACTTTTTTAATATATAATTCAATGAAAACTTTTTATTATAATTTTTTTTTGACTTTCTATTACATTTTTATCATTTTTTTATTCATTTCATTTCATTTTTGTATATAATAGTTTGGCAACTCTTGGAATTTGATTGAAAAATAGGTAATTATGTTGGAGAAAACTGCGCGTAATTGTTTTATATTTTTTTTTTCTTCTCAATTTTCATTTCATTATCTTTCTGTTGTGTTTCTTAATTGAATGTTCATATTATCATTAATAAGTAATCATAACAAATTCTTCCATCTGCTTTTCTAATTATTCTCATTATAATGTTGATAATAAGTCGAGAAAGGATATAACTTGGATGGGTGGGTGGGGTAGGTTTATTTATGAGTAAATACAATCAAAATCATAAGTCCCATAAAAATTGTAATTCAAAAAAGTCCTTTGTTAATTATGAAATTAAAAAATTGTTCCTTAATTTATTCTATGGAGTTTTTTTGTGAATCTAAATTTGATTCTTCTTGTTGTTCTCTTATGATAACTTTTATAGAGACTAAATGGGGATTTTTCGTGCTATTGAAATGTTAACATACTATTTTTTTGTTATTACTTCTTGTTTTTCATCATTTTCTAATCGTTTTCTAGGTGCAATGTGACATTTTTATAGTTTAAAGCATTTTCCTCATTAGAAAGAATATTTTTTCGTGTTCTTATCTTCTTGGATGTTGAATTTTTAATATTTTCTTGGTCTTTAAAGATTGTTTTTGAATTTTCTCTAAGTTTTACATACGTCAATTTAATGGCTCACGTAAAACTACGTACGTTAATTTATTGGCTTACGTAAAACTGCGTACGTAAATTTGTTGGTTTACGTAAAACTAGTTTAGTGGCTTACTTAAAACTACGCACGTTAATTTATTGACTTACGTAAAACTTCGTACGTAAATTTATTGACTTACGTTAAACAGACTTATGTCAACCTTCAAAATTTACTAAAACAACCCTCAAAGTTACTTCAAAAACTAGAAAATACACTCCATTCTCCAAAACATTGCCACTATCCCACTCCAAATTACGTTTTATTCTAAGTCCTCTAAACGATTTGCGTGAT